TTCCTCTGCCTCAGAAATCCCCTTTCTGAAGCACTGACGGCATGCCTTATGGTATGCCGATGCACTGGGTGCTTCCTCTCCCAGTACCTCGAATTGTGCGTAATGCACCCCCGGCTGGCGATGGCATTCGCCAATCCTATGCAAGGTCTTGGTCTTTGACCGACCTACAATGGAGACAACGAACATGCCCGCTACCTTCTCTAGCGGCACCACGTCAGTCGGCGCTTCCGCCTCGCCGCCCGAGCTCATTGCCTCCTCCATCTGTGCCTCCTGCTCGGACTTCACCTCCACCGTGTCAGCCGGTTCCTCCACTAGCACCACCGGACCCGTTGTCGTCCAATTCGGCTTTCGGCAAGGCTTTGCCGCTCCCTCGCCTGGCATGAATGTCATCAGGCGCATCATCTGCTCATCGCATGAGTCTTGATCATGACCCATGCCTTTCATGCGCTGCTCGACCAACTGCACCACAAAGGTCTCGTCGAACGGATCCGAGTTTGCCATGTTTTCCTTGATGAAGACAGCCACCACTTTCTGACAGCGCAGGACATTCGTCCTCACATTCTGTTCATAGCCCTCATCTGCCGAAGGTCTCCAACGTCCGATCATCTTTCGGACATCCTCCGGCACCCTCGCCGCCTGCGCCCAGGTTCTGATGGTCACTCTCTCGCTGTGTTCTGTCCACAGCACCCCGAGGCCTGGCTCCAGAACCGAGCGCCTATCCACTTCTTTGCCCACTTTGATTTCTCTAAAGAGGGCCTGTGACATCGTGGACGCGATGGGGTAGTCCACGACCTTCCTGATGAAGCAGTCGCAGTTCTTGTCAGGCCATGGAAGCATGAAGTCTCGATCTGGAATGCCCGACTCCACGCCCATGGCCCGCCATAGCTTCCACCCAACTTCAAGCCACTTCTCTTCGCAGATCCAGGCCTCTTTGCCAATGTAGAAGGGCAAGAGGATGACACGCTTGCCTGGGCCTGACGTCTTGGATCTGTTGACGATGCCCTTCAAACCATAGTCCAGCATCTCCATCGTCCGACTAGGCGAGCCCTTGGTGTCGTCAAACCTCATGCCCGTCCACAGCTTCACCAGCCTGAACCATGCATAGACCCGCGAATATCTCTTCACCTTCTCATCGCATACATGGATCTCCCATGCCACAATGATGGAGACTGGCAGCAACAGCGCCTTCCGTGTCGGCTTCAACTCAACCGACTGCAACCTCAGCGCTGCCTCCTCCAAGGCGTTCTTAACCGATGGCGCCCTGCAAATCTGCTCCGCCTCAGGCACTTCTCCAGCATACTCCAGAAACATGAGCGCCTTGTAGACGGATTCAGGGAAGCTCTTCGCGCAGGGCTCTTCTACCATCGCCTCGATGAACTCTGCAAAACACTCAGGACTGCCAGGCCAGAGATATCCAAAAGTTGCATCCATCCACCTGGCAGCCTTGGCCCATGTTTTGACATGCTTTCGAAGCGTGTTTGCACGTCTTCCTTTCGCCACCCTGATCAACAGGGCTTCATCGCTCGATCTCCGAGCCACTGGGAGGTTGGCGGACTTGACGATGTCGCGAATCTCTTTCACCCACCTGTCTCTCTCTTGTTTCTCCGCCAGCTCCCTCAAAGCCAAGTCACTGGACGCGATGTGCAACTTCATGCTGAGCCTGGTTGGCCATCTCGCTCGTCGTGCTGTGCCGACCATTTCCACCTTCGTCTTGACATCTTCGTGAACCACTTCCTCGAAGGTCCGCCGACGCAGCTCTCGTTGATGAGCTACGTGAGCATCCAGAAGGTCTTGTGCGCCCCGCTTGGCGTCGATCATGTGCCTCGTCTGCGCTCGGCTGCCAGCACGTCTCACCACCTCTGCCAGCGCTTCTCGACTGACGTCGAAGCCATCCTCTTTCTGCTGAATGTGCCATATCACGGCCTTCAGCACATCTTCTCCGCAGTCTTGCAGGGTTGCCAGTCGTGTGACTGTCCATCCCGACTTCTCCAGCACCGAAGTCTGCCAGGACGACAGCCCTGCAAGACTGCAGGCCAGAGACAAATCGTCTCCAGCCTCCATTGCCGCGGCGAAGCTGGACCCCTCTAACAGTCAAAAGGGGCGGCTTGAGCCGCGTCTTACCGGTTTGTTACGTGACAAGCCGTGTACTACGTACAACTAGCCATATTATATATAGACACTGTGTATAAATTATATGTCGATATATGTTTATACACATGATTCTGAAGGCGGCGGAGGTTTCAAGCGGCCGAGGAGAGAGCAACACAGCAAAATGGAGCAAGTATCAATTTTGTGCGATCAAGCTGCTGCAAGTGTCTTGTAATGCTTTGTGCCCAGCTTTGCTTTCAAGCCTAGGATAGCAAAGCAATCCCGACAATGATCTGCTAGACTGCCAGACTATGTATCTATATATATATATATCAATATATGAATACACGATTAATTAAAGAGATTTAAAGAGTGTATAGTTTGCCTGGGTCTCTAACTCGAATGTAGGATGGTTAGGTTGGTCTAGTCTAAAAGTCTTTATCTAGGCGCTCAAGAAGCTTCATTGTTCGTGCATGTCTGACTGGACCAGGAAACCTACGTAGCTTCGCTTGTAGGCAAGCTCAGCCTCCTCCAGCTTGCTGTTCCGATGGAGAACCTTGGGACTCCGGTCTCAGGGGTTCTCGATCTTTCATGGGCAAGGCCTACCTGTCTGCAAGTTGTGACTCATGGATAACCTGGATACTAAGCCTGTAAGCTACTACACAATACTATACACTACACACATCTGTACCTATTAGATGACACTGACACACGACCTTCGCAAAATCCGGCCTTCTTCGAGGGTTTTGGGCGAATAGGTCAGAAAGTGATACAGGCAATGTGGACAGCTCATGCCCAGCTTCTACTGTACATAAACCTGCGTCCAGTCCTGCCCTTTGCAGAAGAGTTGCTGCGGCAAGTCCTCTGAGGCATGACAATGTCCTCAAATGCTGATTTCCCAGCATAGCAGTGAGACCCTGCACAGCCTGACGGGACAGAATCTGTTTTCGGGACCGATGGCAGACAAGCAACTGAGAAAATGGACCTTAGAGGCATGGGGTGGCAAGAGTCCTCCAATGAATTGCTTCCCTTGTGGTGAAGCGGGGGGGGAGGCTGTCATTGCTTGTTGACAAGCCATTTAGAAGTTTGCCTTCCCGGTCGTGAGCGCTGCGCGGCCAGAGCCTGTCGGTACAGCTTCTCGGCCTCCAAATGCTTCCCTTGAGCAACTAGAGTTGCTGCTAGCTGGCCTGAGATATTGTGCCACAATGACCAAACCACAAGTCTCTAACAATCTCTCCAACTTGGCATCCTAGCCATTGGCTGGCAAAGCTTGGAGTATCTCCGACCAGGCGAGCCCAGTGGCGCAGTACTTCGTAGGTTGGAATATCTTCTCCCATTTTGGTGGTCCGTGTCTTGACCACTTTGCGCAGCAATGTCTCAGCCTGCGCCAACCAGTGACCAAAACCCTGCCCAAGTGGCTGTGAGTCAAAACTGGGGGAATAGTGATTCCGTATGGAGCAGCCACAGGGTGCTTGAGATTGACCAACACCACACCCGGTTCTATGTTTGTCAACCCTAGTCTTGGTTGAGGTCCTACTGGTAGTACCATCCTTGTCTCACCCTTTTCGCAATGGAAACATGTATGGCCTCATTCAGCTGAAGAATAGGCTACAATAGCATTGTGGCATTGAGGCCCTCTACAATACAACGGCCCAGCTTCTTGATGAATCCTTCCAAGCTTCCCAAGAAAAAGGCTATCCATGCGTCTATCGTGTGTATGACTAAACCAAGTGTTCAGTCATTGCCATTCAAACCCAGTCCTCTCCGTATCTTCCTTGCCTGAGTGTTGCTTGGAAAAATCTGTTCAAATCTGGCAACAACGGACCTCTGTGTTCATTTGTAACTGGGATTTGGCAATTGCAAGGTCGGCCTAGACATGTCATGTGTGGTGTCTACAACTTTACCAGCAATGCAAATACGTAACCACATGCCACTCCCACCTATTGACCTTTAACTGTAACTCTTATCCCAAGTTGCTCATGCAACACTTTGGCAAGTCCTGGGTTGTCAGGGAACAAGAACAACTCAAGATTGAGCGTGTGTTGGTGGAAGCACGCGGCAAGGAAGCTCTGATCGGCTCTGATGCAAGTTAAAATTAGTTACTAACCTCTTCAATGTTGAGTCTTCATGAGACTACAAAATAATCTGCAGCAAAGAATCCAGTCATGCTGTCTAGGCATTCAGGATGATCATTGTTCTGCCGAGCTCGAGAACTCGCTAATTCTATCCGGTAGCGGCTCTCCTACCGAGTGGACAGCTGGTCTCAAAATATCTCGAAGCCCAGAGAAAGAATGAACTGCGGTCACTGGCACCAAATTCTGAGCTGGCATCGCCACTAGGTTGGAGGCCATTGCTTTTAGGTTGGAGGCCATGGCTATTATGTTGCCTTTGTATGCCTTTGTTTCTGTGTTTTTGTCTAACACAAACTGCTTCTACTCCGATTCGAAGGGCCGCTCCTCCAACTCCAGCCATGCTCCAGTCTGCGGAGGCTTCATACGGTTCATTCTGCCAGGCTGGCGCTTCCACCCCAAGTCTTTGTTTTTGCAGTTCTGAAGCTTTATTGAGCATGGAGGATGGTACGGGTGTGTATGTATGTGTATATATATATACACATATTTATACAGTACAGTAAGAGTCTACTTGTCTTTCGTCTTGCGCAAAAAACAGGTGTCCATCACCAAGCCATACGATGCCTGTTGGGCGCAGCTTGAGAGTGGCAGCCAGGGATAAGGCCATGCAACAAACGTGAACCAGGGAAAGTCACAAGACGTAAGAATCATTGAAGCAGTCAACTGGGCCTCCTAATTCTCCTCTCTACCCCGGAAATAGACGTCATTCATCATATTCAAGAAACCAATTTCAGACATTTGAAAGGATCCAGCTTCTGCTTGAGCACTTCCTGAGAGCTGCACCATGGCCTTTTTGGCACTGTTGTAGTCCAAGCACCGGCGGCGGAATGAAGCGAGAATCTGGGCGAGCAGGGGAAAACTCACTCTTCGTATCTTGTCATGACCTGGGTGACCTTATATCATATCTTCGGGCTGCCGAATTTAAAAGGACAAACAAGTCCTTGTTACTATATAATAGTAGCTTCTTGTTCCTAGTAGCGATGGCCTCCAACCTAATAGCGATGGCCTCCATCTAGTAGCTTCTTGCAACAAGCACAAGAGATGATGTTAGGCAAATGTCACAAAACACAGCTCGTGTGAAAACCATGCTCACTGCTGTTTCCACAAAGGAGTGGCTCTGGACTCTGGAGTGAACACTTCATGCATAGGATCGGTGCCTGCAAACAACTCTCAAGCAGCATGTCCCTTGGTAACTTCGCATTCTGCGCAGGATCCAAGGCAATCATGGCTGCCTGCCGACATGTGCTCCATTCACCAAAAACCTTTCGTGAACAAATGCGGTCAGATTGTGTATTTTACGCTACACGAACATGCTGACCTTGAAACTCTGCCACGTAGACACCTCGCCTGCTTCAGCAGAAAAGCCATGAGTGGCGCAATGTTGATGCTGCCAAAAATTTGCCTGTCTGGCTGGCCAGGTTTTAGGCGGTCTAGCCAAATTGCAGAATATACTCAAACAGTCTCAAACATACAAGTACTTGTACTTGCAATTGCTTGGCATCCCACCTTGCAGAACTGATTACGGTCAGGCTTCGTGTGTGTGTCCTTCATGGGCACACTCACTCTGATGTATAAATGGGAAACCACAACTCATGGTGGAGAGGGGCCATGAGAGTCCCCCAAATTTCCTGATGAGGTCAGAACTGGCAGAAAGGGCCACGTTGATTGCGGGTTAGGGATGGAAGATTGAGGACCACAAGGTGTGAAGTCCAAGCATGACTACTGCATGTTGCAATCAAAAGCAGCTTGCATAGGCCCTCACAAGTTGGCTGAGCACTGCAGAACTTGGACGAGCGTCTTTTGTAAGGCGTACGGCACTATCACCAAGCACCATGCGCAAACATGCCCAAACTGTCTGACGCTTTGTTTGTTATACAGTGATACACCTATGTCAAAGACTTACAAGTCTCCGCTGCAGTGATCTCCCAAGCTGAGATCTGCTGGAATCTCCGGTGACCAACAAACTTCAAGTAAAGAGTTCAGAGTTCTTGCATAGTGCTGGCGGTTTTCAATGCTGTGGTAGAACCTCATGAACAACAGTCAAATTTACTTGTATATATTTGGTGAGTAACCATGAACCATGGGGTTTTATAAATCTCCCATGTTCATCATGTTAATCTGTAAGTAGCCCAATTTGGTTGACAACTCGGACCTTCCTTCATATCCAACAAGTGTCGAGGTAGCATATCAACAACTCTGTCAACTCATACTACTACTCAATGACTTTGTACATACAAGCAATTGAATCTAATGAATACAAGATTGTCCATGTGATGAATGTTGCTTCGCCCACTGTGAAACAATTCCTGGTCCTCAGTAGCCTCTCACCTTTGCAGTTGGTGTAGAGGATAGCTGCTTGTACAGCCAGAGTTTTTCGATCTCGACTTCGTGGGTAGTCCTCCGAAGTTGAGCAAACTACTAGTGCGCGAGATGATGCTGAAGCTGATGCTCCCCTGCACAGTACGGCAATCTGATATTAGCGATGCTGGGCCCACATGGCCTGGAAAAGGCAAACAAGCTTTGGACCGAAACAATAAGACATGGCATGCTTAGTCACTATCTTGGACTAAAGTATTCTATCAAACCTTGTATCGCTTTGCATTGGAGTATTCCATTTCGTTAATGAAATCCAAACATTGTAACATCGCAAATAAACTTAAACAAAAACAAATATGTTCTTTTTCTCGGATCCAATAATGACCCCACAAACCCGTATATAAGGTTCGTTATAGTTGGAATGCTGGATGGTGCTGCTTTCCGAATCCTTGAAGATGGCAAGCTTCGCTTGCTTGAAACTTAAAACAGCTGTCCTCATCGCTATCTGGCTCAACCTCTGGGAGCAAAGAGAAGGTCACTGACATATCTGGAGACAAGCGTGGCACCTGGGCACGGCAGGTGGTCCGGTTTTGACATCAATGTGGGAAGGTTGGAAGAGTCAACCAGAGGGGCAAGCTCTGGAAGCGTTTCAGTACTATGAAGTCACAATTCTCAAAATCTCCAAACAATCCAATCCTCCAGCCGTTTGTCGTTGGACTTGGTCGTGAAGGAATGACAACCGTCCATTCAATCGGTTGATCGGATAACAGGGCCAGGAAAGGCAATGGGGAACATGGAAGTGCGTCATGGTTGGCCACCCTAGGGAATGGTAGGGTAAAAAACTGGATATATTAAACATAGAAGTGTCCAGAAGTGCGACGCACTTCTGCGTAATTCATTCCCGAATGCGTAGCGAAGGGTTCTCGTTTAACTCTGGGGGTCTGGGGGTAGAGTCTTGTTCGCGATCCGTTGTTTCTATGTTCGCAACCGTCCGCAACCGTCCGCAACCGTCCGCAACCGTCCGCAACCGTTCGCAACCGTTCGCAACCGTTCGCAACCGTTCGCAGTAGGACGCTAAGGCGCTGCCATTGGGGGAAGCTTTTGCAAGTGACTTTTCATGGATGTGTCACGTGTCAGTTTGCGACGCTATTCCATTGTGATTTGCATGAAAATGACATGTCGCGCAAGAAACGTGATGCATTTCGCTGCACAGGCGCAGTGGTTTGAGAGATCCGCAGTTTACTGCGCAGTTCCATTGGGATTAGCGTTTGGAGAGTCGTGTTTTTGGGGTGTTGGATGTGGCCGTGCCATTGGGATTTGCATTTCAGGGTGTGGCCTCGAAGCTCTGTTTTCGTGACAAGTCTCAGCTGAAATGGCGATTTTGGTGGATGGGAGTGTGCTCAGAACGGGTCGAAATCATTCTAAACGTGTGGTGTGGTGCAAATTTTGTTGAAGCTCATGTGAGATGATATTCTCACTTTTCGTGGCAGGCACAGTACTTTGCGCTGATTTTGAGGTGTGGAAGTGCGATTTTCGTGGCAGGCGCAGGAAATCGTGAGGTTGCGAGGTGTGACGGAGGTGTGACGGAGGTGACATTTCGTGGCAGGTGCAGTACTTTGTGCGCGTTAGACGTGTGGATGCGGAAAGATTCGTGGCAGGCGCAGGGAATCGCGAGGTCGTGAGTTATGGTAGAGGTGAATGTCGCTGTCACATTGGGATTGGCGTGTGAGCGGGTGTCGTTTGGAGGGGCTGGAATCGCGAAATTGCTAGGCAGGGCTGCGTGATGTGTGTGCTCCGATGGGTGTTTCCGCTGGACTTTGACTTTTGGAGGAAGTCTCGTGCGAAACGCTCGTTTTTGAGACTTGACGCGTGACTTTTGGAGGAAGTCTCGTACGAAACGCTCGTCTTGCAGCCTCGCAGCGTGACTTTTGGAGGAAGTCTCGTACGAAACGCTCGTTTTGGAGACTCGACGTGTGACTTTTGGAGGAAGTCTCGTACGAAACGCTCGTCTTGCAGCCTCGAAGCGTGACTTTTGGAGGAAGTCT